CTAAATCTTTTTCTTTTCTTTTTGTTTTGTTTTACCATGCACGCAGATTATGATTTATGATACAGAATATACATGTATATATGATGTTATCATTTTATTCATTTCGATATAAAATCAAAGTTCGAAATTAGCCCCCAAGATATATTGATTAAACAAACTCGTGCATATGTATATTTATTGCATATGTATTGAGTATATATCTACTACATATATGTATGTCTAAAAGTATCTATACTATTAGGAAATCAATTTATTGTATTGAGAAAGGATAAATGATATAATTATATTTACAATTTAATCGCAACAAGATATCAATTCTTTTTTTTTTTGAAATGAGATAACCAAGTTATCAATGTCATATTACTTTTTGCTTTAGAGTGAAAGGAGTTGGGACAAAGTTGTTAATCATAGATTGCCAAGAGAAATTGGTAAAAGAAATTTTTATCCAAGATTTAATAGTTGTTCCATTCTTGGCCTAGGTAAAGTCCATCTTGTTGCGATAGAAATGAATAAGAACAAATAAGTTTTTGCTAATGTAATAAAGATACCGATTGTTGTTCCAAGGATTTCATCCATTTCAAATAGCTTAGGAACGAATATGTATGAAATAAAAATATTCTAACTACCCAAGTATAGATTTGTTACAAATAACAAAGAAACTAATAGATTTAAATAGGAAGCAACATAAAATAAATCAAATTTGATACCTAAATATTCGATTTGGTAACCTGCTACTAATTCTTCTTCTGCTTCTGGTAAATCAAAAGGTAATCTCTCATATTCTGCTATGGAAGAAATTAGAAAAATGATAAACCCTATGGGTTGTCGTTACAAATTCCACCCCAAAAAACTATATTTTGACTATGCCTCAATTATATCAATTGTAATTGAATTGTTAGATAATTATAATCAGTGATAACATCACTATTACCATCATTATTACAAAACCGTACATGAGGTTTTAGCTTCATACGACTCCTTGAGGGCCACAAATAAATTTAAGGACCGGATTAATATTATTTATCTTGATACAGTTGTAGAATAAATGAAATCAAAATCTATCGAAAGACCACTAATTATACCAATAGAATTATGTTTACTATAACTATAATAAAAAAAGTACTTTTGAATTCATCTCATCCCTTAAAAATTTTCATTTTAATTTGTTAAGTAATAACTTAATCCTTTAATAAAATACTCATTGTAGAAATATCAATAAGTATTTCAACTCATCGTTTTCGATTACGAAAAAAAATTAGACATTCTATTATTTCATAACTTATGATATAAATTTGATTTCTCGAAATGTATGAAAGAAAGACTAAAATAAAAAAGATATCTTTTTTTTTCGTTCCTATTCTTCTTTTTGAGAAATAATAAAGGATTATTTCATTTCTAATAGTCATTGCTTTAATCGGTGGATAAGAGCATTCTCTGGATCAGAATCATGGGGAGTATTTTCTCATCATTTCTACTAACTTAAAGCCTCAATTAGCATTCTTTTAAATTCAAAAATTTCTGTATGTAATCTCCATTACTAATTATTTGTGTATTTTGGTGTTCCTAATCATCCACTTGTTTTTGCTCAATCCCCCGCTTGGTATTACATATATGGTAATCTATACAAATGATAGCGAAAACTCCATGCGGAGGATCTTTGAATAGAAAAATATTACTTTTTCTATTACTTCATATGTTTATATCTATATTTATAAATAAAATGTTCTTATGCAATTTAATTTTTTGTATTTATTAAGTGAAAGTGTAATTAAGTCTTAATTATGGCAAAATGAATATCAAATTTTTATAATTATAAACACACACATATACATATTATCTAATGTAAAAGAATTTATGTTAATTCTAGCTTTTTTGATAAAATGTTAACTAGAGTTGGTTGTCTATGAAGAAGCATTAAAGAAATTAAAATTTTATGCCTGTGTAATTGACTTAGGAAGACAATTGAGTTCTTCATTGTACACATTTTTTCAATACTTTGTTCATGTTGGAGGCCGTTTTAAAGAATGTTTTTGTTAGAAATTTTGACAATTTTCTTGCTCCCTTTAGAATTTTACTTTAAGAGTTTTACCCTTTAGAATCTAAGGAGTCATATAAAGGGGACACTAAAAGTTATATTAAAACTTCAAACTTTTAAACTTATAAAGATTGATTGATTACATATTAAAATTTACTATAATGTTGAATGTTTAACATTTAAATTAGTAATTGTGGTAGGCAAAAATGGAGGATGAGACACATAAGCCTATAAAAACTTAGGAAACGAAAACAAGAAGTTATTTTTCCATAACTTTGGAATATTTATAAAATTATATTGTGAAAGTTCAAGAATGAACTTTACAATTGCACTCAACTCTTTTAAGGTATTAAATAGTTTTAGCATTCTAACAAATATACAGACATAGATTAACATTGTAAAATTATTAAATTAAATGATGCATCGATCAATAATAATCAAATTAATATCTTTACAACATGTCTTTACAATAATAGTTAGTACACAATCACATAGATTGTGAAACCCATCCAATTCTTTTTCTTTAGGTCCTAGTGTTAAAATCAAATCAAATTAAATTTAAAAACTATAAGAAAATTTGTATTGAATCAAAGAGAATAAACATGAAAGTGTACATGAATTCATGATGAAAGAAATATTCGCGAAGTACAATAGGTCTTCCAAATTGACACTTGACTGTAAAATTTGATTTTCACCACTGATGGAATAATAGAAAAATAAATGACACGTGTAATTTAGAGATTATAACTATTTTTTATATTGTTGACTTTTGTCACTTCTCATTTTGTTCTTTATAAAATAAAAAATTATAAATATGATATATAATTGATCACTTTTAAACGAATTTAATAAATTGATAGTTTGTTACGTACATCAAGACTTATATTAAGGTCACTTATTGATAAAAAATCTAACACCTAGTTGTCTGGGAGGGGAAAACATTATCGTGGCTAAGGAACCATGGCATGATTGGAAGGTCAAATATTTGGATGATGATATGCTTATGCTTTAAGGTGTTTCATTTATCAACTTCTAATTACTTGTACATCAGAGTTGAAATATTATGAGATCTACTTAGTAATTGACTACAATAGTTCTATCACTGTAATCATCTCTAGATAATATAATTGGAGAGAACTAAGTAAGAATAGATGTTTTTTTTTCTAACATATCTATTCATATCTATTTGAATATGAGACATAATAGTCCTACCATATAATAATGTACAAATCCATACACATTTTTAGATGGTGACTTGTAAATTTTTAAATATTAGTTGATAATAATTCTTCCATGAGTGATAAAATGATCAAAGTGTTAATTAAGCAAAAGTAGTCAGAGGGCATCTCTCCTTTGCCAAGTTAGAGATAATCTCCCTAATAATCTCTTCTTAACCTGTCAAGTGAGAAATGTCATATTACTAATTTGTTTATCATTCCATTATATCTTTATATTGTTTTCAGTTATATACACACACACACACAAATACATAAAACTCCAAAATTATATATAGATATATATATTGCACTCTATATGTAAAACAGTTAATATGATTAGCATCATCTAAGAGATAGAATAAGCCTTTGAAGCATATGGGATATGCTTGAAGAAGCAGGCTTATGCCATAGGATATCCCTTGTTCAACCTAGCGCCCTTTTCTTTTTCGTAGAGGTTTTTGTTGATTTGAGTTAACGTTCCAATTGTTTCTCTTTTGATCCACCTTGTCTCTCTCTATCACTTTTTTATTTTTCTTTTCATTCTTTTTGAGAATATTTTTTATATACATTGTGATATAATTCGATCTTATTACTTCATTTCTAATTTTAATTCACGGGTCATGAGATGAATAACAAAATATTTTATAAAAAATATAATGATAATAATTTTTTTTTTGAGTAAATGATGCATAATTCATCATTCAGGTTATATATAGATATTAATCATAACACCACATAAAATAATTTCTAGAAAAAAGACATGTACAATAACTTAATTCATATCCAATACATCTTGTAGAAGAAGATGTTTAGTTAAACAAGAAAAAGCAAAATAAGGAGTGCATATATATTCTCTTGTTATATTTGGCATTTCCACTTTCATCTTTGGCATTCTTTTAATTCTTTTTTTTTTTTAATGTTATTTTATCTTTCACAACTATCTGGTATAAGTTTACTGTTTTTTTTTTTTTTTTTTTTTTTACAGAAAAAAGAAATTTTTTACCAAAGTTGGTGTTGTTTTAACTTATAAAATTAATTAAAGAGTGTCATAACAAGGAGTTTTTACATCTTGCAAATAATATATCTACAGATCTTCTTACCTAATTTACATTCCTGAAATAATTTTATAAAATTTCACAAGGCCCAATTATTCTGCAAATTCCACTTACCTTAAAACCCAGCTATAAATTAAATTAATCACTATAATTTAATTTGGTTGGTAGGTTTGGTGCTTATTTTACAAACATTTTAACCGGTGAGGTTATATAAATAATTAGACAAAATGGTAGTATTAATTGAAAATATATAAATAATTATCTCCCATGTTTGTAAATATTTAATTAATTGAGTAAATTATTTGAGCAGTAGAAAATAATTAGTCTTTAAATTTGACGGTTGAGGAAAAGAAATTTAAAATGGACTTGACCGCAGCCTCCTCAATCAGTATAAGATTATGGATCGAGCATCTTCTTTCAACTGCTTTTTTAAGTCATGGATGAGGAAAAAGCAAGAATCTAACTTTTTTAATTTTTCAAAGCACATCACTCTTGTATTTCTTGATATGGATAAAGAGAAAGAAAAGAACTTAATAAAAAAAGCAGCTTATTTGAAAAGTAGATTAATACCAGAACCTTTAAGCATATGCTATTGGTACAATGGTTTATTCTATTCAGAAAATCTGCACTGACCCAACTGCTTACTATATATCTCCATGAGCAATCGCCAATGAAGCCCAACAGACAAATTGATCGAGAAGAAAAGAAAAAAGCAGGTGGAGGAACCTGTTTATGGTGATGATTAATTTCCTAAGCAAATCAGTTGTAGGGCACCTCTTTCTTGGCAGGTGATGATAGTGCCCAGAAGGTCATATAACTTGCCAAAGGAGAGTTGCCCTGCGACTGCTTCTGCTTATTTCTTCTACCTTCTGATCAGTGCATTAATTTGCACATTGATGATATCCAAAAATTCTTTGTTTGTTTTCAACCATTTAATGCAATATTAATGAACGAAGAAAATAAAAGAAATCTATATACCAAACCCAGTGTTAGGTTATAAATATTCATGCCTTCACTAGTTTGGAATATTATATTCAACTGTCTTTTACAGATAAATAATCTGTGCGGAAGCATTTTTCTAAATAAGTTCATTTAATCAAACCCTTAGTTCCTTCTGTGCTGCAAAAGATTATCTCAATTATCTCCTTCTGAAACAAGAAACAAAGAATAAAGTAGAAGATGAGATCATGCTAAATTACTTCCACCGTCCTTGAGCAATCCTGTCATGGAGAATCCTCAATCCCATGTATCTGCATGGTCAATTCAACAGGATTGTTATATATATATATATATATATATCGATATTAAGAAATATAATTGTGTAATTAATTAATTACCTTCCAAGCATCATGACTGTAGCCTGAGGATTCGTCCCTGGAGATCGATAAAAAGTAGAGCCATCAATGACCCTTAACCCATCAACACCAAAGACTCTGTAATTATGATCAACGACTCTCCCCACTTGGCAGCCGCCGTGATAATGCCATATAGTCATCACTGTGTCTTTGCAGAACTGCTCTAACGAAAACGCAGCACTGGCGTGTTTAGGCCTCGTGTTCACGGGCAGGGTCAGCATCAGGTTTATCAGACCTCGCACTGTCATCTCCTTGAACCGGAATCTGGAGAAAGAATGGGAGTTGATAACGTTGGTGATGGTGGTCATGCCTTCAACGCATCGTCTCAGGTCTTCTGGTTCTTGAAAGTAATTAAAAGTGACGGAGGGATTGTCGTTTGGGTTAGTTGTTCGAAGTTCCAGATGACCGGAAGAGATAGGTCCCATGATTTTTTCCAGGATCACTCCGCCTCCCATTGTGGCGTTTGGCTGAGTGTCTGCACTGCTCCAGTCTCTCAGAATATCAGCCATGATTGAGTCTGGTGGCATCTCTATCGGTTTCTTCCCTGTCTGTATGTGAAGTTCATTTCCATTAGGTTATAATTAGTGAATGTTTACTTCAAAAATAAAAGGAAAAAGCAAAAAAAAAAACCTGGTTGGTGAGAGACGCGAGTTCATCAAAAAGCCTATGAGCCCAAGAAGAAGCGAAGGTCAACCCACTGGCGGCTTCAATATAGCTGTCAAAACTGGTGATGCCGACGACCTGAATGAGGGAGACCTCCACCGGGAGTGGCGATGGTATGAACAGAGCATTCATGGGGTTATCGGCCATCCCTCGACCCACCATCGGCTGATCCAACAACACGTCGATATCGTGAACACGAAGATGCTGACTCGGCCCAATCCCACTCAGCATCAACAGTTGTGGGCTCCCAATCGCACCGGACGATAAGATTATCTCGTTCTTGTAGTTCTCCAGCAACTCCACCCTGTGGGTCGCTCCAGATTCGTCTATGAATATCACTCCGTACGCCCTCGGCCTTAATCTCCCTGGTTTTTTGTCAAGTAACAAAAAATTTCATTATAGATGAATACAAATATTTTCATTATGGATTTTCATTGTTCATGGCAGTCACCTTTTGTGGCGAACAAGATTTTCTGAACAGTAGCATGCAAATAAACCACAGTTCGGGTCGGATCTGCGTACTCGAGCAGATCGGCAGCAGTGTGTCTGTGGCCGTTCCTGTCGAAGATCGTGCCGCCAACTTTAGTCCCGTAAAGATGATCGAACGTGAACCCATTATAAGGCAACACCCCGACCTCAATCAGCCCATCTCTGACCGCCGATTGCCACTGCAACATCGGCGGCTCGAAGGCCACCTTCCGCTCCACCCACTCGTATGAACTCTTAACCAACCCCGGCTTCCACCCAGCTTCCTTCACGTACTTATCACTAGCGCGCGTGTAAAACCCTGCATTGATGACAGAGCCACCGCCGAGAACCCGGGCTCGGGCGTTATAGACGCCGTCCTCGGAGACGAAATGCTGAGCTGGTGAGGAGGGGGAGATGTCGGAGAGAGTTCGAGCGAAGTTGATGGTGTCGGTTGTTTCTGGAAAGGTGTAGGGAGAGCCTCCTCTTTCGAGGAGCAAAACGGTGGCGTTTTGGGAGAGGGTGGCGGCTAAGGGGCAGCCGGAGGTTCCTCCGCCGATGATTATGTAGTCGAAGTATGAGATTGGTGGGGCCGATGTTGCTTCTTTAACAAATGTGTAGTATGGAGCTGAAAATTAACACATCAACAAAATTAAAAATTAAGAAATTGAACTTAAAAAGTTGAAAATGCCATGTGTGTGTGTGTGTGTGTGTGTGTATACCTTTCTCTGAATAACAAATTCCATGAAAATCCAAAAGAAGAAGAAGAAGAAGAAGAAGATTAGCAGTAAATATCCACCAACTCAATAATCCCATACCCATTAAATTAAATTAAATTAATCAATCTGGGTGAAAGGTAAAAAGAAAGTTGGATCTGGTTTTTATAAAGAACAAAATCAAAGCCACAACGATTTGAACGGCAGAACAAAGATCTCCATAGCTAGTTTGGTTGATTTCAAATTGAGAATGTAGTTGAACTACGCTGATTTGAAAGCTTTTGGGAGTTCATATAAAGATTCAATTACCTGGAAGATTGTCAGAATTTTAAAATGCTTGGTGTGTGACATTAACCAAATTAATAACCCTACACCTATATCTACCCCACCTAAATACCCATTTGATTTAATTTTTAAGTTCTTTAGGTTAATTTGTAACTTATATTTTTTGGGGGGTCTTCGTTGATATGGCTGAAGCATACACAAATCTGGATTGTAACTAAATTGGGAATCAATAATGGATAATTTATTAGGCAGTAAGCATCCAATTAAGCATGAGTGAAGGTTAAAGAGTGTAAAGGGTAATAAAGTAATTAGTCAAATTTCATTAGCTGAATGAATGAATGACTGGCATTCCCAATCTTCTTTATGAGATGCATGTTCCGTTGATTGTATTAAAATATATGGTATGAAAGAAAAAATAAAATTATATAGATTTACTAATTTATGTGATTATAATTCTTACTGGCTTACTCCTTTTATATGGTCTGGGCCTCTTTTCATTCTACCAGTTGACTAATTTATCATTAAATATATATATATATATATATATATTTTTATACTCTCAATCCAAAATAAATTAATTAGTTTATTATATTGGCATTACACGTGGAATAATAATTTATATTTTTAACTATTATGAAATTATGTCAATTATATATTTAAGTGATACTAAGACTACAGTAGTCATCAATACAGTAATTTTTTAATTAATATAATAATACTTTATTTAAATATAATAAATAAGTTTAAAATTTATAATATTTAAAATTTAATTGATTAATATATTAATGGGATTACATGAAAATCTTGAAATTTAGGTGTTCGGTCGTGAATTAAATTAAAGGTGGTTGATTATATTCATTTAATGTTATTATTAAAAAATGAAGTTATCAAATTAGGATAAGGAAACTAATGTGTGTGTGTGTGTGTATATATACTTATAAGCAGAGGAGGGTTTTGATTGATTGATTGATTGATTGATATTTAAGAATAAATAATTAGATTGATACACGTACAGATTGTATTCAATTGATGGAGTTTATATCTGGTGAAAGAAAAATTAATTAATTGAAAATGTTCATGTTTCAAATCTTTAATTCTTAATTATTTACTACATTTTACGAGTCATTTAGTGATATGAAATAAATCTACAATAATTAATTAAATTTTATTGATAAAATTTGACAAATGATTCTGTTCTTATCATCAAACGGGTCGGCACATTTCGAAACACGTGTTCAATTCAATTACAACAAAATCCAATTATATAGTTTTCAAATTTGCTAATCAATTTTCTTTTTTTCTTTTTTATGTTTGATGTTAATGATCTAATAATTTAATTTTAATAAAAAAATAAAATAAAATTATGAAGCCTATTAAAATTTGTTACCAAAAGTGGAGATTAAGAAATTCAAAAATTACAAATTTGTAACTAATTTAGGATATTAAATTATAATATTGGCTCCAAATGTATGTAAAGAAATTAACTCAATTTTAAATTGGACATGTTAGTATCATAATCTAATGTTATGCGTAACATCAAATTTTAAATTATTAATGTTATTATTATTTAAATATTAACATTTAAGTATTAAAAAATTCGAATTTGGGGAACAAAAAAATATTCTCTTATATATATTTATATATATATTTTTAAAAAATAAAAAAATAATAATAATAATTGTACAACAAGACAGTATTCCTGCCTAATGCTATCTCCTTACTAAGCACTTTGTTTTTTTTTTTTTTTGGATGAAATATTTAAGTGGTAACTTGAAAACAGAGCTGCCTCTGCTTTTCCTCTGTAACCGCCTTCCCCTTTTCGTCTTTTAAAAAAAGACAATTATCTTAGTAATTATAATTATCATAATAATCTGGTTTAATTTAGTTAATTAATCCGATTTTAGCCATAAAGCATCCTATGAATCTTATACGGATAGATCGGAGGTTGCGCAGAAAGCAAAAAACGAAAAAGCCAAATATTCTTCCAACTTTCAAAGATCAAACGCAATATTAACAACGCTGAGAATTATAAAAAAAAACGAGAAACTTAATTTCATTTCTTCAATATGATACAAGCTGGGCGAAGCAGCTGGAATTAGAAGAAACGTTTCTGTAGCTATATCTATATGGCTCTTTAACTACATAGCAAAAACTCAATAAAAAAAAAAACTACATAGAAATAGAGCCAACCAAACCAAAAAGGAAGGAAGGAAGAACAACAAAAAAAAAAAAAAAAAAAGTATAGTAACAAAATCTAACCTCTTCCTAAGATTCCTTCTCTGTTTTCTGTAATTTTTTCCTTTTTTTCCGTTTTTTGATGTATATCTATGTATAGATTTTTTTAGATTATATGTATATCTATAGATATGTATATTTATACATATAGTTATTAACGATATATAAGATTCAAGCACCTACCATTAATTACCACGCCGATTAACCCAAAAACCAATACGGCGACGAACTAATTCGACAACTTTCTAGGAGGTGAAGGGGTGATGATCTTGATGACGAGTCCGGGGAAGACATCGTCCGGGTCATGGATATGCGGGTTGCGCTCAACGATAAACGGGTCGCCGCACTTGTCGCTGATTGTGTGCAGTGTTTCCCCTTCTCCGACGACGTAGATTTCATCGCAGGGTCTGTCAACGAGAAGCTGACTTCTTCCTTTGATCTGTTCGTCTGATCCCAGACAGTTTTCTCTAATGGAGCCGACCAGTATTAGGGCTAGCAGAACTACGGCGCAGTACCAGGAAGCTCCACCATCGGCTGCAGCGCTCGATGCTTTCATGGCTTTTGAGATGGCTTTTTTTTTTCCCCTCAATTCAACTGGCTTTTGAATCTTTCGATGAAACAGAAGGAATACGGCGTGTATTTTGAAATTCTTGTGGGTGTCTGTGTGTGTGTAGAGATACACACATATATATATATATATATATATATGTGTGGGTGTTTTGAGAGAAGAGAGAAAGGGAGAAGGGTATTTTGGTCATTGTAGTGTTTGGAGTTTTGGAGGTATTTGGTGAGGGAGGAAGTTGAGTTCAACGGGCCAGAAGTTGGGGCACGTAATTTTTAAAATTATATTAATCAATAAATAATTTGTTTTATAATAAAATAAATAGAATTTCTGTTGATACATTTTTGTTCCCTTGAAAATGGGATGAAGTTTCCAAGTGAAGGGAAAATCAATGATTTAAACCTGATTAGTTGATGAGGTTAATGTTTAGTGATAATTTATATGAAATATACAAAACAATAACTTAGACATATTAAATTCTGTTTTTTTTTAATTTTTTATAAATAAATTTAATTTTTAATGTACACATAAAATAATATTAGGTAGATTGGTGGGTAAAATAAGATCATAATCGTACCTAACAATAAAAAAGCTTATTCTATACAAAACCCTGAAATTGATTTGCTTCTTTTTAGGTTTTACATATTTTGTTGCATTCCTATATAATACTAACGTGTCCAAGTAATTAAAATATTTATTGTAAATACAAACGAGGGTTTATTTGGAATTTTATATTTTCGTTTAATTTAAAATAATAGATGGGACGGCGTGTAGTTGGAGTGGGAAATTGCGTGAAAGCACTTTGTAGCCTCCCCACTTTCCCACCTCCCTCTTCCAAAATTAAATTAAATTAAATTAAATTAAAAAAAAAAAAACCGTCGCTCCATTAACCAATCAACTAACCCGAACCCGAATAATGGGGGCAGCAGCCCATGTTTTTATACGTGGTATCTTTCTTCATGTGTCAAATTATTTGATTAAATGTCTAATAATTTATGAATATAATGTACTGATGATAATTCAACAAATTTATTGATAATACATCTATTGCTATAAATCATACATAGTAAAACTATAATTTATTGGTGACTATTTTGACTTTGTAATAATTGAATTAGAATTTATAGATTCATTTTTATAGTTGTTAGGACCAAAATTCAATTTTCAAGTTTCAACTTTCCTTTTTTTTTTTCTCTCTTGGCGTGCAAAAATTGGTCACCGTGGACCAACCTCCAATGTTTAACCTTCACTTTATATATATATATATATTTTTTTAAAAAAAATAAATAATATAATAAATTTATTTTTAATGGTAATTGAATGTATTTTTTATGCTCATAGACATTATGTTTAAAAGCTCATTACTATTTGTGATTGAAGACATTAGACTTAAAAAAAAAAAAGCAGGCAGTCCGTTTTCGTTTTTAGAATCTAAATTTAACACCACAAATTATTTGTTGACTTAATCCTTCTTCATAATCATAATTAAGCAACAATTACCATGTCATTAAGTTTGCGGCATATACATACCTTCACTGCCCATTCAATTCTAAACATACTTGAGCAACCTAATCGTAGTGAAGTTATGTTGGTTAGTTTTGTGTTTGTCTTTTGCTAAAAACTAATTACCATGTCATTAGGTTGTTAATTGTTGAAATCAAGACTAACAAAATACAGTTTTTTTTTTTTTTTTTTTTTTTAGGTTTGTATATTAATGAATAATACGGGAGCAATATTTAATTTAATTATTTATCACCAACTACTTTAATTATAACTTACAATTACTTGTTGTTAATGAAACCAAACCCTTTTAGTTAGCCCCTAAACCCTCTACTGACTACTAGTAATTTATACAAAACACAGATAATTAAATTAATTTATACAGGCTTTTTTTTTTTTTTTTTTTTTTTTCAAGTAATAATCACTATAACCAAATTCATCTGAATTTGATATCAAATTATATTTTTATTTTGTTTATTTAAAAATAAAAAATTGAATCAAACCAAATTTTTTGAAAGCCCATTCTGTTCATGGACTCTCAAGGTAGTTAACTAACTTGATCCTCGTCCCAAAATTTCACTTTCAGTTTCTTGCATGATACCAGTGATTGCTGATGAAACTCGCGAGACCCATTTTTCGCCGATGCACTACGTCCTCGAAGATTCCAAAACGGGAGCGAGTAACAAGAACACAAGTATCCATTAACTCCATTAAAGAGCTTCATGCTCGTCTAATCCGAGCTCAACTCCACACAAACCCACATTCTATATCCGCTGTCATCAAAGCATACGCCTTCTCTTCATCTTATTTGCACATGGCTCATCTCGTTTTCAATCTAATTGAGCGACCTACATTACTTGTATGGAACTATATGATACGTGGCTTGTCGCAAAGTAATCAACCCTGTGAAGCAATTAACATGTACTATCGTTTGTATCACCGTGGTCTGTCTGGAGATAACTTAACATTTATTTTCGTTTTAAAGGCATGCGCTCGTCTTTCAGACACTGTACAAGGTCAAAAGATTCATGTTCAGGCGATGAAACTCGGGTTTGAATCTTATCTTTTTGTATCAAATGTATTGATTTTTATGTACGCGTCCTGTGGTGAATTGCATATTGCAAGAAACGTGTTTGATGGAATGGGGGACAGAGATCTGGTGTCCTGGAATTCATTGATTTGTGGCTACTTTCTGCATGACAGGTTTTATGATGTTCTGGATTTGTTTGACGCAATGCAGGAAGCAAATGTGAAGGCCGATGGGGTGACAATGGTGAAAGTTCTTTTAGCGTGTAGTCGTTTGGGCGACTATGATATTGCCGATTCCGTGGTTATATATATTGAGGGAAATCACGTTGAGATTGATGTTTACTTGGGGAATACATTGATAGATATGTATGGAAGGCGTGGTTTGGTGGATTTGGCGAGGAAAGTTTTCCATAAGTTGAGGAAAAGGAATACGGTTTCTTGGAATGCCATGATCATGGGGTATGCTAAAGTGGGAAAGTTGAAAGAAGCCAGGAAGCTTTTTGAGGCAATGCCTGCTAGAGATGTGATTTCTTGGACATCTATGATCACGGGGTACTCTCAAGCCGGCCACTTTCTCGATGCCATGAAGCTTTTCCAAGAAATGATGGCAGCTAAGGTCAAACCAGACGAGATTACAGTGGCCAGTGTGCTTTCTGCATGTGCTCATTTGGGTTCGCTTGATATGGGACTATCTGTTCATGAATATATACGCGAGCATGGTGTAAAAGCAGATATTCACGTTGAGAATTCTCTGATAGATATGTATTGTAAATGCGGTGAGGCGGGGAAAGCGTTAAAGGTCTTTCATGAAATGAAAGAGAAGGACTCTGTTTCATGGACTTCCATTATCTCAGGCCTTGCTGTCAATGGTTTTTCCAATTCAACACTTGAGCTCTTTTCAAAGATGTTGATGGAAGGTGTTCAGCCTGCTCATGGAACATTCGTTGGGATTTTACTAGCTTGCACTCATGCAGGATTAGTAGATAATGGATTGAAGTATTTTCAAAGCATGAAAAAAGTTTATGGACTAACCCCAGAAATGAAACATTATGGGTGCGTTGTTGATCTCTTGAGCCGGTCAGGCAACCTGTATAGGGCCTATGAGTTCATAAAGGAAATGCCCATAGTTGCTGATGTTATAGTATGGAGGATATTATTGAGTGCTTGTAAGGTTCATGGAGATGTACATTTGGCTGAGATTGCCACACACAAACTTCTTGAATTGGATAATTCTAATAGCGGTAATTATATTCTCTTGTCAAATACTTATGCAAGTTCAGAAAGATGGGGTGATGCTATAAAAGTTAGGGAATTGATGATGGAGAGCAATGTGCAGAAGCCATCAGCTAGGAGTTCCATTGAAGTTAAAGGTTGATCATAAAGTATTTTTCAGGACAAAACTTCCTGTCCAGTTTCAGGAGAGGAGTCGACTGAATGCTGTTATTAGAAATAGATGATCCAAGGTTTTTGCATATGCAGTCATCATGATTTGGGTGATACTGGAGCCTTCTGTCGTAAGTTTCAGTTGAGCTCCATTCCCATGGCAAACTGACTAATGAATTAAACATTAGCAGACACTGTAATGAATCCTCTGGTATGCTTATAACCCTTTAAAGATAAACTGTAAATATCAATATGAATTAAACACTAGAATTTCAAAAAAGGAGATATTGCAGATTAAGATGTTATTTAATGGCTTGGTCCTTCCCTTTCTCTGCATGGCATGTTTTTGCCTGTGTTATGAAACAGCAAAAGACAAAATTTTCTTTTTCTAGGTTTCTTTTAACTGTGAACTTCTTCCTTAATAATTCTCCCATTTACCCATTCTCTATAATTTTGTAGAAAATATATTATTGCATCAGATAAAACAAACTGTAATAATTTGGAAAGTATAGGAATACTAAAATTTTAATAGGCTCATGCCATAATTGACGGAAATGTAGTAATCAAGTCCTAAACCAAAATCTAGAGAATTCTGCTGTGAATTATTAACTAGAAAGTAGAAAAAACAAATATTTTATACTTTAGAAAGTTGCTCCCAGACATGGAAACTGTTTGGCATCCTCAAATCTGAAAATAGTATCCGCCTTCACTTTGTCTTCTTTCACTATTTGAATTTGATTGTAATTGTTACTGGCAAAACTCCTCTGCCTCCTAACTGGTTCAAAGAATCCATTAAAGCTCATGGACTTGGCAACTTTCTTCTCATTCACACTGACTTTCTTCCTAACAGTCTTCTCCTGCTCATCTTTTTTCTTCCCCACAAGTTTCATTGACTTGAAATCCTCAGAAACATCAACCATTTTCTGCTGCTTTGCAACACTCATTTTCAGCAAATTTGAAGATGCTTTCTTCTCAACAAGCTGCTTCTCGTATCCTTGAAGAGTCAATACATGCGTTTCCTTCCTGCTCCTTTTCAAGATTCCCATTTTCTAGATCATCGCCATTAGCTAATTGGTTGTCTCTGAAGAATCCACTATTATTGCCCCCTTGTTCCTGTGATTATAATTACTGCCACTGTTAAACCAACTCTACAGAGCACCGTCGGCAGCAACAGCAGGAACTCCTCTGTTGGGATGACCAGCAAGAACAAGAGGTTTTGCATGCATCTGATCAGGAGTCCGTTTAGCTGCTTGTTGATTTTTCCTGAGACTGACTCTTCCACGGCAGAGCAGTTTTAGCCCTGTGGGGAGTTGGGTTGGTGAATTTGGTGTCAATATCACTTTCTTCACTATTTAAGACTGCAAAGTAGCTCTTGGTGTACGTCAAGCATGGTTCTAACAAAAAAATTAGTGAATGGAGATGATATAGAGCAATGATGTGGAGTCATGTATTTATATCATAGGCTTACACAGGGAGCAGGGCACTGTTGTTTCCCGTTCTGATTTTCCTAGTTATACTAGGAATCTTGGATTCCTGTCATTTATTTCGTTTGTCTCTTCTGGCACACCCTGAAGGAATAGAAATATCCTTTTCTTTTGCTCATTAATAAAATAATTTTCTCCTTTCTTTTCCAGAAACAAAGAGAGAAAGGAACACAAAGCCACCAAAAGCAAAATAAAAATACTAACAATTCAACCAAAAGATAATTTTATTCATATTTTGTAATTACCTTACAGTCATAATATCATGGAAAAAGAAAATCTCAAGTTCAGAAACCAAAGAAGCCAAGTTCGCTAGCTTTTTCCTTCTCGAATGTCTCAAAGTACTGATAAATGATGGTAACTGCAAGAAGAATTCCAGTCCCTGAGCCAATGGCCCCCATAAAATCCGCCAACACTGTCAATGCACCAATGCAAATCCCACCAAACGCTGCAGCTGTTGGTATGTATCGGTTAAGCTCCTTTTGTAAGTTCGACTCCCTGTGCCCGGGCATAACCATTTGTTGTTCCTGAAACAACACATACAGATCATGTTACCTTTCCAATAACACCACCACTCAGGTCAATATTCAACACAAACGAGCATCATATGGGTATTCAACATGCCATAACTAGATTTTAGATGCTAGAATTTGTAAAGAGTATCAGATCTATCTTAACATTCAATTCAACAAATCACCTACCTTGAGCTGCTTGGCAACATCTCTAGCAGATGAGCCAGAAACTTCAATCCAAGTTTTTGAGAACAGTGCACATGCAGATAACATGAACACAAGATAGAACAAGGCATGGAAAGGATTGGCAGCCATATCAGCCAAGCTGCAAAACAACAGGCAACATGATAGAGTAGAGTCAGTAACAGAGTGTGTAGAAAGAGGGGAAAAATTAGTATATTTACTGACCGGATATGACATAAATAATATGTGGTAAAAGCAAAAAAAAATTCTCTCTCAGTCACCTGGAAGGTGCAGTGATATAATATGCAATACCACCAACAGGGATAAACTGACCACCGGAATATTCAGACTCCTTCCACTTGCCCAAAAGATTCACAAAGAAATTTCCACTGTACCTCCTGTATAGCAACTGCAAAACCAGGATATTAAATTTACTAACTTTTATAACCAGAGCTTTTTTTTTTCTCTGTTGACATCAACTTGTGTACAAAATTTATCTACTTCCCATTACCTGAGAGATGAAGTACAGGTTGGAGACAAGAGCAGACTGCAAAATGATGGGCATGTTAGAGGTGTAAAACAGCTTGATAGGGTAAGAGCCCTGCTGCCCACGAGCATTCTTTGATCTCACCGGCAAAACAATCCGGAACCCTTGGAAGTAGATAACAATCAGGAATATCAAGACTGTGGCAAGCAGATTTGTCACGTTAGGAAGATTCTGCCGGTAAAAAGCCTCCCGGAGCGCACGAACTTTATCTGTTCGAGTGATCAACAGATGGAACAATGCAATGACAGCACCTTCAAATTCAGCTCCACGCCCACTATTAATGGTTGTTGGACTAAATGCTTTCCAAATTATGTTCTCACTGAAAGGGAATTACAAGATATTTTAAGCATTCAAAATCTGTAATAGCAACAGTGGTTGGCTGTGCAACAATAGACAGTAATGGATCTAGCAAACAGGAAAAAATCTCACCAGATGTTGGTTGCAATGAAAAGGGAGATTCCAGATCCTAGACCATATCCCTTTTGGAGAAGTTCATCCAAACATATAACAATGATCCCAGCAAAGCAGAGCTGGACAATGATAAGGATTGCATTCCCCACTCCCAGTGGCCAACA